TCATAGTAGCAAAGCTAGGATCAGAGTATAATAGCAAAAAGAAATGATGATAAAAAAAGATAAAGAAATGAAGAGAAAAATAAATAATAGAAAGAATAGTAACGATTATTTCATTAATGGAAAAATTGCATTGAATTGATAGAGAACAGAATTATGTTGCGACTTTTTATCTTTACTAGAAAAAAAACAAGAACTCTAAAACATAAACACATTCTGTGATATGAGAAACATATTTTCATCTTCTGTGTAGTTGTATTTTTGAGCTTTCTTTCGGATGGAAATAGTTAAAGAACAATCTGAAGAGACATTTGAGCAGATGAAAAAGTTCTCTGTCATGATTGCTAGATCCAAAGCATCTATTAAAACTGCTTGCCTCAGAATGTCTGCAAAAACCGACAATCCGAAAGTCAATTCTCTACTTTCATTTCGAAGATTTTAAGAAATTATTCTAAACAATCTGAGATGGGTGTGAATGTTAAATTAGTTGTAGGTGTGGCGTGTGGGTAACTGAGTACTGGATGAATCTTAATGAAAACCCATTCTCACATCCACAATGTCATAGAAATTAGTAGTAGAAATAAAATAAACATATTGAATTCTTTATTTTTAACATTAAGAGTAATTTATATAATTTTGACATTTCAACAGAATGATAGTTTTATCTTTTACAGTTCGATATTTTTCTTTCTAATCATAATAGAATTAACCATTGGGAATGTTCAAGTACGTATGGGAAAAATGAGTTGACTTCACATGTACTAATGATATACATTGATGAAATAGACTAGGAGAGTAGGACGAATAAAGTTATACTTCTTGTTAAACATCGCTTCGGTATTGCAATTTTCATCAGAGTATTTGAATGTCGTTCTTAGAGAATTTTTTAATATATGCTTTACAAATCATTCATAGAGAGGGAAAATTTTGATTAATATAGGGATTTTTCTTTCTCGATAAGTCAATATTCTTACACAAAGAACACTAAAAATGCTGCTTTTCTTTATACAACGAATGCTTGACAATAAAATGAAAGATATGACGCATTTGTAATTCATTCTTCTCCATCTACGAAAACAAAAAAACAACATAATAGTATTATACAGCTGACGACACGCTGCATTAACAACCATGGAAATTTCATGAAATATAGTTTTTTTTGTACTTTTGCAAAAGTCGTACAAAACGATTTGATAGCCGGTAGAAGAAAAACTCATCATTGACCATCAAAATCATCATAGATTTATTCTTTCGGTCGAGAGACAGTCAGCAATGTTTCAGAATCAAGATATATTTTTTTTCAAAAATAATAGAACCTCATTCTTAAGAGAAATTCACAGCAAAACTTTTGATGATTTTTTCACATAGCACAGGACAAGCAATATTGTAAAGATAAACTAAAATCAAAGGCTGATCATATGTTGCTTATATAAATATAAACCTTAGTATTGGATGTTCAAATATTTGATATAACAATGGAAAAAAAAAAGATGTGTGATATTTGTTTCAGCCAAGAGTTTAGGTTACGTCTATAAAGTTCGAAATTAAATATTTACTTTTTTTAGCTATGGAGATAGAAGAAAGAGAAAATATCCCCATAGGATAGTAGTGGGGAATTCAAGAATATTCTCATCAATATCTTTCATAAACTTACATGAAAAGTAAATACAGTCTAAACCTTTATCTGCAATCAACATCAGCTATTCAATACAGTTTTGTCACTATAAAATAATATCAGTATACTAAACGATAACGATAAATGCTTCGAGTCTTTAATCAAAATCAGATATTATAAATCACTCGTCATTCCATTCGGTATTGTGGCTCGATGCATAATAGAGTTCATTCATTAGGCAGCTCGATTTGATAAAATGAATTGATAGAAATTGAAGAAGTTGTAATAACTTTCAGAAAAAACTATAACAATGCTTAATCATCATTAAAACACTCGAATTTTAAATTTAATTTAATGTGTAAAATAAATTAAATATAGTTTTAACATTCTTGTAACTCATAAGAGTTCTGCTAGATACCGTTGGGAAGTAATCAAATATTTGTAGGTAGTTCTCATTCTAATAGAATTTTATCTATATTGCAAATACTTCGGCTGATATGGCATAATTTGCAAAAAAAAAATGAAAAGTAACACCTTTTATTGACTTTTAGAAATTGATCTTTGTCTAACTACGAAGAAAAACAAGATGAATTTAATACTCAACTTATGTAATCGAATATCAACAAATGTTGAGAAGAATTTCAAAAAAAATTTGTAGAAAATAATAGTTTTGTAATTTGGAAAAAAAAAATTTAATTTACATTTTTTTTCAAAGCATAGATAAATGTATTGAACAGTAGCCTACACGAACATTCTATGTGTTCATAATAAAACTTTTAATGAATTCTTTAGACAGCTTAGGATAAATAATATCAATTGGCACTGATTTCGAATTGATCGAAGCTTAATAAAACCTTCTTTATTCGACAATATATTGAAATAACACATTGATAATATAATACCTATATAAATATAATCTTAGTATTTGTTGTCTTAATATTTGATGTTACAAATGATTTATAAAGAATTTGAAAAACATAGATGCATATCATTTATTTCAAGCAAATATTTATGTTTCGTCTATTTTAAGATGTTAAATATTTATTCAGCTATTTATATGAAAGAAAGGATTCAAGTGATCACTTTCTCATTTTATATACGAAAATGTGTGCAAGAAATCATATTTTTCATTTTCTCTTCTAATAAATTAGTAAAGAATTTATTAAAAGTATTTCCATCTATCTCTTTGATCTCCGAACCTAAAACAAAAAGTAAATATAATCTATGCATCTTACTTGTTTGAATGATATAAAATCTATCATATTTTTATCATCTCTCTCTTTCATTCATTTGCATTGCTTTAACGGAAATGTTCAGTATTGAACTTCATAGAAGTAACCATCAACAATTCGATGCAGTAGGTTTTCTCTTACAATATTTTTTTTTCATTCATGATTCTGTTCGGTACTGTAATGATGAGACTCGTCCATTTAATCTAATAAAATGTATCCAATGGAAGCAAGTCAAGTTGTTTTCAAAATCATGAAAGTTAATGATGATTTATCTCAATTGAAAAAATAATACAATCATATGAACAAATTTCTAGGACACTTGTAGACCATATTAAGTGAAATATTGATAGAAAAATCTTGAAAGAATATATAAGTTAGTAGTAGAATTTTCTTCTTATTTCATAATCATAACAATCTTTCAAAACAATTCGAAGTATATGACATACAGAGTAATTCTTTTGTTTCAGATTTATCTAGAAACGAACACAACGGACTAATCAACATTGTTTGAAAATTATAAAGTATGTAATTCTAGCAAAAAAAAAATAGTTGAGATTGTGTGTGTGGATTCTTATCCTCTTTTTATTCAAATGCATACTAACACCATTTTTTAAATTTTATTTAATGGTTAAATATAAGTGTGAATGACCTGCATTTTTTTCAGGATTGAACACAATGAATAATATCAAAAATGATAATGATAATTATTCAACAGAATACTCGAGTGACTTGGATTATGTTACCGAAGAATACTATGTTGAAATCGTTACACTAACAATTTGTCTATCTTTCACAGATGTAGGTTCACCTAATGGTGGTTTTAAATTAAGTAATAGCTTAGATCAATTTGATATAAATACATCATTGAAATATTTAAGATCTGATCCAGTATCATCATATTTAGAAAATGTAAATAATATTTCAAAAGGATACTTAACTAATGTTGCTAGATCTGAATATGGTCTTTCGTTATCAGATCCATTGGGAAATTTTAAATTAGATCCAAATGCATCATATTTAGAAAATGTAAATAACATAGCAAAAGGATACTTAAGTGACACTGCTACGTCTGGTCTTGGTCTTTCGTTATCAGATGTAAATTCTTCTATTGATGGTATTCGTGGGCTAGATGAAATTGATATAAATACACCATTGGGAAGTATTAAAATTGATCCAAACGTATCATCTTTAGAAAATCTAAATAACATAGCAAAAGGATACTTGAGTGACATCATGACATCCGTACTCAGTCGATCTTCACCAGATGTAAGCTATTCTATTGGTGGGGTTGAACTAAATGCTGG